AAACGGAAAGGGGGGGGGGGGGTTAAACATTTAAAATAACAGGCTTGATCCTTTTTTGTTGAAAAAATGCAGGATGTGCCATTCCATTTCCCATTCCCCCTTAAAAAAAATAATAAAAATCGTCCGTTTGCTCCCAAATATATGAATTCAATATATATGATTTCAATAACAATATAAATGTATAAAAAGAACGAATTTCTTATTTCATATGTGAATGAAATGTTATGAAAAAATAGATTTTGGCTTGATATTAGATATATATAGGCATATATTTTTTTTTTTTTTTTAATTTTCATGCTTGTAGGTCTCTTATAGTATTGATCAGGATTAAACACGTGTCACAATATGATCCAATCGCAGCTTACCGTCCAAAATTGGTGACATAAGTTGAAAGATTTTCTTCAAGATTTGCTGCCTATTTGAACATGTATTACACGGACACTTTTTATTTATAGGATCAATCGTGCATTGGTGAGTTGATAGGGATTTTATCTTTTGATTAGATTTGATTTTTTTATATATATTTCCTGTCTTTTATATTGAAATATAAACGTCGGTACCAGCATTTCTTTACTTTCAGCATTGTCCAGAATACTATTCATGTCCATATATTGAAAAAATACATTTACGGACCGACCATTTAGCTACAAAAAGGGGTATGTTTTTTATTCTGAGTAAGAAAATTATTTACTTTTTCAACGCTATCACCAAATATTTTTTTTCGAAATTAGCACTACAATATACTGTATTCGGAAAATCAGGAATCAGAACATTATTTTGTCATCTGCTTGACCACACTATATTTTTTCTCATAAAATTTGGGATCAGAATATTTTTTTTTGGAAAAAACCATAACTCCCCTTTTGAAGTTAAATGGTCAATTCCGTAGTGTACTGATATGAATAGTAATATACTGGAATTGTTTAAAAAAAAATATAGAGTTATTTGATGCCAACGTAAATATTTTGATAAAAAAGACAGGAAATATGTCGGTGAAACAAAAAGTTCAAATCTGATTGAAATTTAAAGTGCCCATGAACTCACTGATCATGCACGAGTGATTCTATTCATAAAAAGTGTCCGTGTAACAACTAAAAAGTGTCCGTGTATCATCTATAAAGTGTCCGTGTAACACTCGTTAATATACTGTTTTTCTATAGCTCTGCTGGGGGCAAAGTCGTACAACTACTGACTCAGTATGAGGTATCAGTTATTATTTTTTTTCTTTTTCTTTTTTTTTTTTGGGGGGGGGGGGGGGGTCCTTATTCACTTTAAAATCCGATAATAATTTATATTATGTGATAATATATACAACAGCAACAAGAACCGGATTAAGACTATACAGCAAACGAAACACCACTGTACATATAGTCAAAGGTGACACACACATTACGTAAAAGGAAATCAGAATTTGTAATGACTGAGAAACCTTCGTATGATTGTCTTAAATGCTACCGTTAAAACACTTGGTCCAGTACTTTGCATTTGTAAGCAGCAAATATGTATCATAAGTTGTTGTCCATTCGTTTGATGTGTTTGTGCTTTTGATTTTGCCATATGATTAGGGACTTTCCGTTTTTGAATTTTCCTCTGAGTTCAGTATTTTTGTGATTTAACTTTTCAATAATATCCCGATAGGAAACCAAGCCTTTGAATATCGTATAAACCGGTAGCAAAATACTTATTATTGAGCAGCTGCTCTAATGATAGATAATTTTATGTTGTTATATATAAAGGAATCAACTGTATTTTGTGGGGTTCCAGTTGATCAGTCTTTGGTTTTCTATTTTGTGTTTTGTATACTGATGTTTGTCTTTTGGTCTTTTTTCGGTTTTCTAGCCATGGGATCGTTACTTTGTCATCGACTTATGAGTATTAATACCCCTTTGGTATCTTCCGCCTCTCTTTAAAAAGATCGCCCCAAAACGACCCTCCTCGTCAACATCTAAGTTCAAATCAAGGACTGAAGCAGACTTACATAATATCTGATCGTTAACAATATAAAGGAAGAGAATAAAAATCTATATAATTTATCTCTTCAAAAGTGCATGTGGGATGTCATAGTTTATACAAATTAAAGAACAATACGTGCAAAGTAATCATTAATAGATTTATAGACTGACTATTGGAAAAACATCAACGAAACATAGCGAATACACTGAACTGCAGTCAAGTTTAGCGTTTGGTAATTCATTGTTAACATTCTGGCGTATCACAAACAAACAACTTGTAACGTCTCATTTCATTGGCCGAAAGATTTAAATACAACAACAATCGTAGTGTGCGTGAATTTACACAGTTGACTGACAATGGAATGTACTACGTTACTATTAACGTAAAAAGTAAATGTTTTTGTAATGCTGTGTCGTTGCCTGATTTTCAAATAGTGGGGTCGAAACATTATTGCCTGTAAGACAAATGAAAAGATTGAAATGTATCAACGGCGAGGATTTTTCATTTGCACTGATGTGTACAACTAAAAAATAATAAAAAAAATACTTGTGAGTAATGTCGTTCTTTATAAGGAACAATATAAATGTACCGTTTCGATTTTAATTGGATGCACATTTGTCTTTTGATTTCATACTGCAAGGAACCTACCGGAAGAATAGAGCTTTGCATAACATGTTTGTGCCCGTGTTGTTTTGTGCAAATACACAAAAAAACATCTACATATACAATTGATTATTATGTAGGATACTGGTAGTACACCTAGAAAATATTCGTTTTTCCAAAAACTAAGAACAATTTTATCGAGAAAGATACAATATTAATAGAATTGAAGTACAATAAAATTAAAGGTAAACAAATGTAGCATACAGATTTAAAAATAGAGATGTGGTATGATAGCACATGATACTTGGTCTGCTATGAAAATATTTACAATGTATATAAATGTGTGTCAATTTTTCAATTGAAAACAGCAAAAAAGTAATTATAATTATAAATTCATCAATTAATATATATATATCGGCGGAGTTACATTTCCTTTCACCGCGCCAATGTTTTGTCATATCCATTTTTCTCTAAACAAAGTATGGTTACCTAACCTGAATTTACTGACAATTTCGGGATTAATTTTCAAAAGGAAGTAAACTGATTAAAAATAAAAACACTACCCGAAGTTGAATCCCTAAAACCCAATTCTCCCTGGCTTAAAAAGATACTAGATTATGCCATATGATGTAAATGTAAATTGTCATCTATAACTAGTCATTGGAATTCCTTTTTTTTCTGTTTCTATGTAGTTTCATATTTACAAAAAAAAGGTTAAGTCTAAGTGAGCCAGTCTAGTTTTAGGGTCGATGAGGTGGCTTTGATAAACTGGCGATGGAACATGAAGAGTTATAATTATTCAAAACTATTTGAAAGGAGACAGTTGGATTCAATATTTTGTCGTGAAAAGCGTTAAGTCTTTGTATATAAGAAATTCAAAAAAAAAAGACCTTATTAAAACTGTTGCACAAAATTATAGTATCAATACATCTTACATGCGATGATACACTTTATTTAAGGTAGTATTACCATGAGATAATCATGTACAGTAACACAATTCTGTACGTAATCAGTCAATTCAACTTTGGATCATTAAAGTACACGTGTTCTAATTTCGCAGGTGTGCTTGAAAGTTTATGTGAGGTCGAAGGTTTGAATTGACCAATGAGAACGATCGTTCCTTGGCGAGTTGATCTAATAAAGTTTGTTTGACTGATTACGTCGCACGGCCTTTCGCTAAGCTTGGCCGCAGTTAAGTGTATTATATTAATCAAATTCAATAAAAAAAATATTTTATGATAGAAGTTTCAGAAATTGTTTTAGAATCGGAACGTTTTTTAGTAAAGTAAATTTTGTTTCTTATTTGTAATTACGCAGACCAATCTGTTTATAAATCACGATGACCTGTTATTTGAAAATATGGATCACAAATCTATAAAAAAACAAATATTTTTTTCTAAATTTTTTATAGGAATACAATGTAGTTTTTTAACAGATGTTAATACAGAAGTTGGGACCTTGGTTGTATGTACATTAAACACATCTCAAGATGATTTTCTATAATGCCCATTGATTCTGTTTTATTCGTATATGCTATCAACAAGTTGGAGTACATAACCTTAACCTATTTATAATCATTAAGTTTATACAAATCTCACACAGAAAAATCCAGAAGTAAATGTGATGCTATAAATATGAATTTCTGCATGTAATTAAGTTTCAACTGGACAAACATTAGTCCCCTTCTCACTCCCCTGTCCCCTCGAAAAAACCCATAGAAAACTGAACCCCAAAACACAACAACAAAGGGTGGTCAAGCGGCCGGTATAAACGCAAACAAATGAATATATTGAAAAAACCTATTTACGTAACATATCGATACATATGAAGACAATATAATCTATAAATAAAAAAAATAAATTGTTCCCTTCTTTTATTAATGTATACCGATTCGTCAAAACAATTGCACGTACGGTCTTTATTTCGGACCCTTTTTTCTTAATGTCAACAGATTAAATATTCCTTATGATATTGTCCCTGTTTTTGTATATTTAATTGTTTTTAGTATAAGTATAGTATATGGCCCTTTGTTCAGTTAAATATGAATAACGACACGAGTGTGGTTCGGTTGTTTGTTAAGGGTACGCAATTTAATTTTCTATGGGTCAGGAGCTCTTTTTTTTTTACGGAAAGTTATTTTGAATTTTTGAGACAGACATTCATTCTTATCCTGTGTTGATCAAGATTATTTTTTCAAGGATGAGCATGAGAGAATCCGAACTTATGCTATCTACTAGAATTTACATATTACGTTTGGGGATAATAAAAATGTTTCTTTATGCAAAATCTAGTAACATCGAAATAAAAAATATTCGCATAACATCAAGGTGAATAGAGAGAAAACATAATAATTATGATACTTCAAATCTATGGAAATTCTACTGAATACTATTCCATTTGAAAACAAAATATAATAGTATATTATATATATAAAATACACTTACCAAAGACTGTACACCAATGCAGACATTCACATACAATAAGCCACAGAAATCCAACATCTTGGAATGTAAACTTCATACTGTTTTTCTTCATAAAAATCACCGATGAACGTGTCTTTTACTTGACAAAATTCTGGTTTAATAAGATCGCATATAGCATAAGAATAACTACCGAAGATAACTAAACTATCGATAAAATCATAAATCCCATCACAATCGTTACAGAAATAATTGCTGCTATAATATTTCAAATTCATAAAAATCCGTCTTTAGATAGGATTATGTCTTGTAAATGACTGAATCAAAGTTCTCGTAGAATATTGGCTAATTAAAAAATAAGTGGATTTTACCGCCATGAAAATCAATCCGGAATACCATTTTCACATTGTATGATGCTAAACATTTCTATATATGTTAATTCCGATATCGAAATTGTTAATGATTTATTATTTATGAATATTAAATTCCGGAATAAAATTCAAATTATTTAGCAGAGAGATTTCTATAAATTGACATAAATCAGCGCATTTCTTTCCAGGATCGACTTGTCAGGAAACATTTTAAACTTTATAGATTTGTGATCTGTATAACAGTTTCGTTTTGTTTTTGTTTTAAATCGTTCACAGCTGAGCCACACAAATCATATATATCCTTTTATCTTTTTCATCACAAGTCCTTTGAAGAAAAATCAAAGGATTAAAGAACAAATACGAGTTTAAAATGAAAAACTATTATTCCAGATGCATCTTAGAAGTTATGCACATTAGTTATGGTGGGCGTTTCTTTATATAGTAAGTCATTGGTATATAAAATAAATGACTTGAAATAATTTGTACTCTTTACAACATCAAATTTTTTTTAATGTTCAATAAACACCTGAAACAAAATGATAAGTGAACTTGAACAAATATGTAGGTTAAAAGTGAAAGTTATCAACTGTGTGTAAGATATTTCTTTACTTTCAATATATTAAATTGAAACGTAATTAAAACTATGGTTTAAACGTTCAGGGTCTCATTGATGGCAAAGAAAGATCCCAGCGATGCACATCAGATTGCTATTGTAATTTTTTCTTTGAAAAAAGAACATTAAGATAATTAATAAATTTCTGTCCTATGAAACGTCTGTAAATCTGAATGAATACTGTATTTTCTTGTAAGGAAAATGTGTTTCTCTTAGAACCACGCGTTTAACTGCTATTTTCGTCATTTCTAACACATGACAAAGTCTTAAAAAAACATATACTGAGTTGATTTCTTCTTAGTTTTGACTATTGTTTCTTATTTGCCAAAGACATATGTTACATGTAGATTCAGCTTTCACAATTATTTGATGATTTAAACGAATTTGGATGCATTTTATCGTTCAAGAATATACAAGAAACATTACTCAATTTTCTGATGCATATAAAGTAACAATTCATCGTCGACTTTAACTTAATATTATAAATATAAATAAAAAGATGTGGTATGCGTACGACTGCCAATATAACAACTATCAAAAGAGTCCAAATGAAGCGGAAAAGGGTAAATATAGGCCACCGTACGGCCTTGAACAATGAGCAAATCCCATACCGAATAGATATATATTAATTTAGAAACTACCCCTTTGCAACGGGGGCACTTGCGGACGGGGTATCCACAAATGCGTCTAACAGCATATGCAATGGATATATACAGACAAGTAAAAATATTCATATGTCTTTTTCAGAGTTAAAAATGGGTACATTATGAAATAAGACATATTACATAAGAGAAATACACATTATGTACAATATGAAAATATGAACTAAACTAAGAGTTACGTAAAACATATTACATAAACAAATAACATTTAAAGTTTAGGTTCCAAAACCAATGATCTCTGAGAGTACATTTCGCTCAACATTTTTTTACTTAAACTGTCCAAAGTTTTACTGATATAAGGATCAACCGGATAAAAATAATCACCAATCAGTATTTGTATTTTATCGTATAATTAGCTGTAAAAGGCCCCGACATGCCAAAATGTGAAACAATCCAAACGAATAAAACCAACGGCCTGATTTATGACAAAGCAATAAACGAAAAACAAATATGATTGACAACAACCAACGACAGGCTCCTGACTTGGGAAAGTTAACTTCAACAGTACCAATTCGGCTGTTTGTAAACTGAAAAAGGGCGTATCTTTCACAAAAATATTTGTGAATAATAATCATCACAAAAGTACTGTAAGTAGTATATCAATAAATGGAGAAGTGTGGTGTACGACAAAGAGACAGTAACCCAACGATATACAGAACCGAAATGAAACACTGTAAAAATGAGTTTTAATCATCCAATTTCATTATCAACATCTTTAAATAACATTAAAAAAGTCATGTGTACTTGTAAAAACTACGAACAGACAAACAATAATAACAAACCACTTCTAAAAGACAGAATGTTAATTATATGAGTTATTGATATGTTCACTTTACGCACAGGACTCTTGACAAAATTAATAACACAGGGTCGGAAAAAGAAGTGTTCGATTTCATAATATATATTTAGTAAGTCGTTTAAGAAATTATTAATAAATTCACTCTAAGTAAAGACAAACGAAAAAATAAAAATAAATACGATTTCAATTTTACCATCTGTCATCCGTGATTAAAATAAATATATATATAAACATCAAAGGATAGTTTTCTTGTTTTGGAAGCATATCCTTTATCAAGTACTTTTGTGAACAGGTGAACCTTTTATTAAAAATTATTAATTATTATTGTACTGCATTGTAACATGAGCAACACGACGGGTGCCACATGTGAAGCAGCACCCTTCCGGAGCACCTGAGATCACCCCAGTTTTTTGTGGGGTTCGTGTTGCTCAGTCTTTAGTTTTCTATGTTGTGTTTTGTGTACTATTGTTTGTCTGTTGGTCTTCTTCTTTTTTAGCCATGGCGTTGTCAGTTTATTTTCGACTTATGAGTTTGAATGTCCCTTTGGTATCTTTCGCCTCTCTTTTAAAAAGTTTAATTTTTTATCTAGGATCGCCCTAATTTGAATATCTTTCAAACCTTTATATCGTTTAAACTTCTGTTTATTTCTTTTTATTGATAATCATTTTTAATTATGTAATAAAGATTTGACATATGTTGCAACCTTTACAGGTTTATCAGGATTAAAGAACATCATTGTATGATACTTTTGTGGCGAACAAAATCTGTCTGTGCAAACTTGAATAAAATATAAAGTTTGGGTAGATAATCAAGTCAGAGACAAAACTCAAATAAATAGAGAAACATATGCCAACATGTTTAAAATTAGATTGAAATATGTTTGAAAGAAGAGACATAAATCTTTGAAAGAAAGAATATCGTCCCTTAATACATGGTTGTGTCATAAAAGTTATCACAGCAGGAGGATACCAAAACCAAACAAGAAAAACCAACAGCAGCATGACGGACGTACAAATTAACATAAATCAATAAACTCATCATAGAAACAACAGAGAGAAAAAAAACTTCAACGTAAGGCACTGTGAAATCCCAACAAAAGCGGATGCGAAACCATGTGCTCCGGAATGGTAAGTGAATCACATTTGCCATGTGACATCCCTCACAATTTACGGGGTTTTATTAAAGGATAGTTGACAAGCAATCACTCGTTAACTCTAAAACTAATTTAAAATCCCAGCTCATTTTAATTCATTGAGTATGAAACAAATCAGGGTGTCTCGGGCAGGATTGCGTTTGAAAACATCGACAATCTACAAAAATACAACCTTGTACAATGTTTCATCATTAAAGTACAACCTTTTACAATTTCCTTGTATCACCACAAAAGTACAGGCTTGTACAATGTAAAATTGAGAATGGAAATGGGGAATGTGTCAAAGAGACAACAACCCGACCATAGAACAGACAACAGCAGAAGGTCACCAACAGGTCTTCAATGTAGCGAGAAATTCCCGCACCCGGAGGCGTCCTTCAGCTGGCCCCTAAACAAATATATATACTAGTTCAGTGATAATAAACGCCATACTAAACTCCAAATTGTACACAAGAAACTAAAATTAAAAATAATACAAGACTAACAAAGGCTAGAGGCTCCTGACTTGGGACAGGCGCAAAAAATGCGGCGGGGTTAAACATGTTTAAATGTGCATTTATCACCACAAACGTACAGTCTTGTCGAATGTACCATACAAGAGTACAGGCATTAACAATGTTCTTATTTCACCAAATAATACAGCAGTTTACAATGTATCAACACAAAAGTACAGCCATGCACAATGTACTTGTTTCACTACAAAAGTACAACCGTATACAATTTATCCCCACAAAAGTACAGCCTTGTACAATGTATAACCACAAATGTATAGCCTTAATGTATCACCACAATCGTAAAGCCTTGTACAATGTATAACCACAAATGTATAGCCTTGTACGATGTATAACCACAAAAGTACAGCCTTGTACAATGTATCACCATAAACGTATAGCCTTGTACAATCTATAACTACAAAAGTATAGCCTTGTACAATGTATAACCATAAAAGTACAGCCTTGTACAATGTATCACCACAAAAGGACAGCTTTGTACAATGTATCACACAAGAGTACAGCTTTAAGCAAAGTATTATCACAAAAGTACAACCTTGTATAATGTATCATCACAAAAGCAGACTATCAGATAAAAACCAACACAATACAATAATACATTATACAAATGTTTTAAGATAGAATGCAATTTTATCAGAATAATTAGAAAGTAATTTAACTTGTAAATATCTTGCATGTCTTCAGTATCAATATAAATCTGATGAGGCAAGTCCTTTTCGTTTTTTTTTATAAGTTTGTTGAATTGTTTAGCTATTATAGTAAATGATTTTACAAAAGTGTTACACTTAATTCAAGATAAGTAGATAATGCTTATGAGAATGATAATGCAATGGACAAATGAATTAGATTGATTAAAATGAAATTTACAAGTTTTATAAATATAGATGCAACCACTATATCAATTGTGATACGATCTTTATCCACTTGAGACAGTTAAATTTTCAAATTTAAATAAGAAGGATCTTCAAAAGGATTTGT